AATTTTTATATAAACTACAGGCTATAGGCCTATGTCACAAACTAAATTTATTTTTTAACTCCCTCTGGAAAAAAAAACACCAAACAACCACTTGCCATCAAAGTGGTCTGATGATACTTTTGCTTATAGCATAGGTGAAACCTCATCCAGAATTAATTTTCTAAGGATCTAATAACGATTATACTCAGGATTTCTAAGTCAGATTGGTCAGGGTGGAATTATTCCCCAGTGCAAACCAAAGAACAGTCTCTAGGTGCCTAATTCCTATCTCCTTATAAGTTTGCTTGGCCAGTCGTCCTGAAGTGAAGGGTGTCTTACCTTCACGAGCTCTCTGGGAAATGTCCCAAGGTTTAAAGAGACCCATACGCCTCTTCTTCAGGGAGACAAGGAGACCCACTCACCATCAGCCCAATGCATGATGGCTGAGCCACACATGCCCTCCTTCACGCCATGCTGTGTTGGGGCAAAAGTAGAGCAGAGCACAGGAACTAGTCCTGTGTTGTAAGAAGCAAAGATCCCTCTCTGTGGAGGTCCTAGCAAGGTATCTATTGAAGTAGCCAGGAAATGTTTCTACCCTCTTCCGGAGAAGGAAGAACACATGAACTCAGAGAACACCAAGGTCAAACCTAAGTAACCAAACCCTGGGTGCCCTCACTGGACCTCATACTGGACTACATACTTCATCAATTCACGGATGCATCAAGGAGTCGGAAGCCTACACTTCTGGGTTTAAACAATGGAGTTAGCAGGACAAATAGGACTGATAAGTATGTGGGAAGAGGTAATACTACATTCTGCCTCCAAATGCCTTGGAAACCCAAAAAGCCATTAACAGGCACACCTCAGACTTTGATTTTCTGTCTCCAAGTTATATTCTGTCTCTAACCTAAATGTCCGTCCCTAAATGACCACCATCACAACTGTACTAGTCCCCAGAAGACAATGCAGCTCGGGAAATAAGCCAAGTCTTCAACTGAAAAGCTATCAGAGAGGTTTTGGCTAACACAATCAATCTTCCGACAAGCATTTTATTAAGTGCCTATTATAAGCCAGGCGTGTGCTTGACACTGGGGGGACAAAGGAAAAAAAATTAAGCAGTCCTTGCCTTTACGGAGTTTACATTCTGTTTCAGACAATTTCCACATTGGGGTTCTGTTAGGTGACACATTCAGCTCTCCATGCCCTCCATGTAGTCCCATTTTTCAGTACCACAGATCCATCCCTAACTTCATCTAGTCTTCTGACCTTGACCCATAGCTCCCCATAGGAGGAAGGCTTCCCTGACTTTACAGAAAGAATATCTGAGGGAAGACACAGAAACTAGGAATATAAGATAGATACCCAGTCCAACATGCAGAGTGAAGTGTCTCAAGATGTGAGGAGGTAGGAGGAAGGTGATTAGATCTCCCTTCGTCCTTCCTAGGGACCCTACCACACAGCGGGCACCTCTCTCCCCCTTGGCTCTGACTGCATCACTCAACTCATCAGGGGCCACAACTGAGGCATTTAGAGTGAGAAGGAACCTTAGGGGCCTCCAGAGATTGAGTCACTTGTCCAAGGCTTCGTAGATAATAAGAAAATAGCAATCCATCAAATCCAACGTCATCCGATACTAAATACAGAGTTGTTTCCACTATACTGGAGCCTCCTTAAAAAGACTGTAGTGTGTGTGTAGACATCCTGTAACTGACTGACCACCTGATGAAGATGAAGCTATTGGGCTGTGCCTCAGTTTCTCTTGGAGGATCCAAATGACTCCTCTGTTTGCAGCATCCGGAAAAGGGAGGGGAGCCTCTTGGCATCCCACTATTCTAAAGCCAAGGTTCCAGACCAGGACCAGCATCAATGCCCCAAGAAGCAAAGGAATGACCTCTTCTGCCATCGGGAGCGGGAGTCCAAGTCGGACTCATGAGGCAGTCATGCCATACCTGTCCATGAACTTTGCAGGAACAATGTTATTTAGGAACTGAGCTAAAGGGTGAGCCTGCTCCCTCAGAGACAGAAGGGATACAGGGGAAGGACGACTTGGAAGTATTGCAGGAAATGTCTATATGTTTATTCTGACAACATATTTAAAGTAAAAATTCCTTTGTAAAAGCCAAAAAGAAAAAAAACAAACCTGGAAAGGAAAATACTGGCCTTGAATCAGAAGGCCTGCGTTCAAACATCACCTCTGATCCTTACTACCTGTGTGACTTTGTGTAACTAGAAGGCCTCAGAAGTCCCTTCCAACTTTAGATCTATGATCCGATGATCTCCCAGAGCCTGGACCCATGGGAGAAAGCCTTAGCCAAAGCCACAGGTTACTTCGCGGCTATGTCTTAGGAAGGGACAAATGGAACATAAGACCAAGCAGGGAGAGCAGCAAAGAGGGAAACAGCAAAAGCAGGAATGGGCCACAAGGTGCTTTGTAGACAGCAGATGCCAGCCAGCAATGGATGCAAGAGACGAATGCAAAAAGTGACTTACTTTCTAAAGTCAGTTTCTGAAAGGTCCAAAAGAGAGAATATCTATGGCCATTTTGCTTATGGTTATTAGACCTCCTAGTTTCCCCAAAGGCCCTAGTGGCAGGAGTGAGCCTGGTGTTAGAAATGAGAGGAAGGAAAGGAAGAAAGAAATGCTAGGGGAAGTTTTCAAAGAGAAAAGAAATAACATTAGGGCCTGGCTTTTACATAATGTTGGAGCTGAGAAAACAGGTTAGAAAGTCAGAATTTAAAGTCACTCCAAAGCCACTGGCGGGGGGAGGAGGATCAGTCAGGGTCCATCCATTGCACCCTGAGTATTTGCTTCCCTGGAAGGTTGTACTCCAGTTCCCCTTCCCACCGCCCCCCACCGCCCCCCCCACCACCCCTCGAGCTGAGATGGCCAGGGCCCTGGGAGGTCAGCAACCCAGACTGAGATTGAATAGTGAGCGCCTCTGGCTCACAGCCTAAGTAGGACTGGGGAAGTTGACTCTGTGCTCTTAAAGGGGCCACTCTAAACTCCTGGGTCACCTTTTCTTGTTTAGTAGCCAGAGCTGGGGGACTGAGGTTGGGGGCTGGAAGAACTTTAGTTGCAGCCAAGCCCTGGGAAGAAAGGATTCCCTACCACTTTTTCTTAGGTGTGTTTGTAGGGGGAAATCTCCCTAGGTGAAAATGTATTAATGTAACACAGAGGAGTCAGACAACTGGGCAAAAGCAGAGCCAGGAGTGCAAGCCAGGCCCTAGGAAGGGGTGGGAGGCCTTCACCTCACATTCAGATCCCACACCAGACTAGCTAAGCAGGAATTGCCCTAGAGAAATAACTGACCAGACAGCTCCCACCACTGGTGACCAAGGACAGACTACAAGAGAATCTCTTCCAGCCAGAGGAGGGGAGCCAGTGTGTGGCCTAGCTCCCGCCAGTTCTAAAAACGTGACTGCAGAGAAGGAACAGTTCTGAACAGCTCCTCCCTGCGCCAAACCACTGTGTAAGGTCCAGTAACGGAGACAGTAGATTAGGGGACAGGGGTAAGGATGGAAAGGAAGGCCAGGAAAGAATTAGGCCAAACTGGAACTAGGTCAAGGGCCCAGAGTGGGAGCCAAAAAGGGAAGCTCTTGGGGCCAAGGCATAGAGCAATTTGGGATCCCTGGGGTAGAAACAAGGGGATGGGGACTCTGGGTCATGATTTCCAAGCCACCTTTGGTGACGTAACCCTTCCCCTTCCCCTAGAGATTACTCTTGCTACCCGATACTAGATGACTGCTTCTGTCCTTACATAACCCACCTGCCCCCACCATGAGTAAAAGCCCAGCAAAAGAACCAGAAAGTATTCATGGGCCCATAGTGGCAACCCCATATTTTGTCTCATTTTCTCCCCTTGCCCCAGATTCTAATCAGAACTAAACCTCACAGGCCTATCCATGCCTGGGAAAGGACTGTGGCCAAGTGGACACAATAAAGATATTCCAAGATCCAGCTACTGTTCAGCTCTGATACCAAAGCGGGCATTGGAGACCAGGTCTACACCTAGTCAGTCATTCCCTCTGAAACCTCTGCAATCACTTATTTAATCTTGTATCCCTAAGTGAAGTATCCTTTAGTATGGGGGTGGGTGGAGAACACAGCCACCACCAACTTAACGTAGATCAGCTAGGATGGTGCACCTCAAAGACTGGTTAATTCGATTTCTAAGTGACTTGAATTCACACTTGGCATTTCCTGAGATACCTCTCCCTGCCTGGGCAACACTCCAAAATGTTTGCCAGGGGAGGAAGGGTTAAGTGTTCTGGCTGGGAGGACCGGCGCAGAAAGGCCCAGTGCAGGGGGGCAGCCCAGGGCCCTCCACAGCTCCTCCTGCACGAGCCAGCCGGCCGCTGCCACCTTTGTTGACTAACTCTGCCACATGCTTAGCTGACACGCGATGCTCCACTGAGGCGCTGCCAGGGTTGGGCTGCTGGGCTGCCACTGGGCACCCAAAGCCCCAGGCCAGGAGGGATTCTCAGAGGTACTATTTTCTCCCGAGTCCCTGGCTCTGGTTCCCAGACAGAGACATCAGATCAGGCGGCCTCCCCAGCTGGAAAGTGTCAAATTACAACCGGTTCCACAGCTTCCCCCTCCCATGCTAGAGCCCCACTGCCTGGGTTAACCTTCCCTCTGCTGCACTGAATGCATGAGCAGGCAGTGGGGACTGAGCATCCACTCCAATCCACAGGGGTGACAGTGCTGGGGCAAGGAGGTGGGGAGGTGGGGATTGTGACCAAGCTGCTGCCCAGCCCTTTCATAGCTCCCATCTCACCAGAACCCTCCTGTCTCCCAATCAAGGTGAGACTCTTCCTAACTTTCACCTTCAGCGTTCAAAACGCTCCCCGCAACTGGACCCAACTATTCCTCAAAAACCATGGCAAGTCAAAGAAGAGCTCGAGAGTCCAACTGAAGGATGTCCCATGTCTGGATGAGGATTTCGAATGAGAGAAAGGCAGCATAGGGTTCTTATGGTCCTGGCACCTGTTTAAGCTCAGCGTCTATTACCTGATACCTACCCGCTGCATGTGGAGTCTGTGGAACTGGTCCGCTATGCACTGAAGCTTTCGCGCAATCTGCACCTCAGCTCGATGTTCCCACTGCTCTTGAGGGGGCTCCTCTCCAAGCCTCAAGCTTGCAGGAAAATTGGCTGGGAGGGGAAGTCGGTATCCAGCATTGCCTGCAAAGATGGCAGGAGGGAGACGGTAGACACGAGCCAGCATTTTACACAATAGCCAGAGTCCTTCCTACAGGCTTCATCCACAAATGCCTAGGAAGGTCCACTGGTAAGCATCAGTTCCAAGTGCAAATCTGGAAGGATCTCATTGGCTATGTAGTCCAACCCTCTCATTTTACAGATGGGGAAACTAGACTCAAAAAAGTTAAATGATTTGCCCAAGGTCACATGGGAAGTTAGCACCAGAGGCCATATTTTAACTCAGATCCTTTGACTCTTTCCACTGGACTTACTGGAGCCTTGATCAAAAATCAAACAGTACAAATTTCAACTTTGGCATGACTCCATAGCAGACATAGTCTCTCATCTATTTTCCAAAGTTGATTAATTACGAATTTATGCAAGGAGAACAGATTTCATTTTTATAACACCCCCCCAAAAAAAGAGCCTACTAAGTGCTATGTTGTATTATAGGGGGAAAAAATAAGGGAAATAAAACTCAGTACCTGAGTACATAAATAGCTATGGTACAGACTAGAACATGATAGGAGTACAAGAAAGATTAAAACAGTACTTTAAGAGTTGAGAAGAAAAAAATGATCACACATAGTTGGGAGGTGGAAGAGAAAGAGAGAGTGAGGAAGAAGAAGAAGATGGAGGAGGAGGAGGAAAAGCTTACTATACAGGTGGTATCTGAGCTAAGCCTTAAAGGATGGAGAAGAAGAATAAGGTAGGGCATTCCAGGTATATAGAGCACTGTGAGCAAAGACAGTGAGGCAGGAAAATACAAAGAGTCCAATCTGGACAGAATACAGAGTAAGTGATGGAACGGGGCATAAAATTTGGCTAGAAGGTCAGAAAGGTCCATTTGAAAGAGCAGACTGGTAACAAATCTGAGAGTTATTTTTATGGCTGTATATTACCATAATTAAGCACTCATTCCCCTCCAGGGTGAAGCCCTGCTCTAGAAGGAATTTTTAAGCTCTCCAGGGTTTTTGGTTCCAATAGACTAAGAGACTGAGGAAAGGGCCAAAAGGTGGAGCTGCAGAGGATGATACGCCCTGGAACATCCCCAGCACGCTTCAGGCAATACTGCCAAGACCAAGAAGAGAGCGCCTTAGGCCATAGGAAAAACAAAGTCCCTGCAGGCAGCCTGAGCTGGGACTCCTGGGATGCCCTCTGAATGTAGAGACTGTAGGCATCCCTTAAATCGGAGACTCTCCACTCCCTCCCCTCCTTTTCTAATTACTCAGGCCAACTCTGTACAGAACTAGTCTGCCTTATCACTGTAAGGCAGTGCCTTCTGGAAAGAAATGCAGTCACCAGAGGTCCTCTGCCTCGTCCTATACACATAAGATAACTTCAGAACCTGGTTTCCCTTTCCTCTCTTTAAACTAAAAAATGGGCCTAATGCCCAACCTCACTCCTTATGCCTGCCTCTCACGCCCCTTAAATTTAGGTAATGGAAATGGGCTCTGCCCAGATTTAAGCCACCCTGTTCCTGAGGACCAGCCTCTCTCTCAGCATGAAGCCAAACCCAGCCAGCACTTGGCAATTTTCTCCTGTTGTCCTTCCAACCACAAGTAGTCTTCAATAAAAGCTGGGAGCCAAGCTTGGCCCCTAGGAACCGTTCTCTTCCAGAGGGAACTACAATGTAGCAGCAGAACAAATGATAAGTCCAGGGGGAGTAGGGAAGCACTTTTATGTCTTCCCCACCACCACCCTTTCCTTACCACCACAGGTCACTGATAACCAGAAAGGGCCTTTCTTCTAGCTCACCTCCGAGACAGAACATCAACACCAAAGCAAGAAGGCTTGGCCAGTCCTTTTCTACCCCCAAAGCCCTCTCCTGGGTGTGTGGAGGTGAGGAGAGACCCAACTAGATCTAAGACTGGGTTGTCCCCTATGCAAAGGAAAAAAAGCTTGCCATACCCACTGAACACAGTAACAGATAAGCAGAGCCAAAAGGGACTTTAGAATACAAGAAAAAAAAAAGAGAAAGAATGTTAGTGCTGGAAAAGAACTTAAAAGTCACCGACTACAATCCCCTCTTGTACCAGAATAGTGGTATTCTTGGAATAGTGAAAGAATACCTGCTCCAAATTCCCACAGCACTGAACCACAATGCCTTGCACATAGTAGGTGCTCAATAGTTATTTGTTGACTGGATAAATGAATGGTAAATGATGAGAAAGGCAATCCAGCTTTATGAGGACTGGCCACTGATCCAGCAAGGAGCAGAAAGAAACGAGGGCTCAGAAGGCAGAGAAGAGAGGACTCAATTTCCCTGCTGCCCCCGGTCCTACCTTTATTGGAAGGGATACTTTCCCCTCTACCCTGAATTCAGGAGAGAAGGAATCCAGAGGGAAGAGACACTCAAGCTCACCATAAAAGAGTCGGTGGGGTTCTTCAGTCACTCCACAAGGCAGCATGACACCCTGGCTTGGGGATGCCGGACTGAGGGTCTGAGTGGCCTTGTCTTCCTGGCCAACAGACCGAAGCCCTGGGCCACAGCAGTGGGTGAGAGGGAAAAGCTGCAGCCCATCCAGCATATAGTCGGGCTGGCTCTGGGCAAACAGAGCAGCTGAGGTCAGGCCCCCTGGCTGTGCACCAGGCTCTGAATCCTCCGGGTGGAACACATCGTCCTCCAGCTCTTCAACATAATGAGGAGGTTCCATCTCTCCTGCAAAAGAAAGGCAGTCAAGTCTGGAGGGCCACTCCCCCCCCATCCTGAAACACTCATGCCCATGTTCCTCCTAGCCAATGAAAGATAAGGTCAGGGACTGCTGGCATACAGCCTTGGCAAAGGGGACCAAAAAAATATCCCCCCAAACTACCTGGGCAAAACCCAACACACCTGGCCCCTCTATCAGGCTGCCCACAGTCTCCTCTACCCTTGGCTTCTTTTCCTGAACAGGCCTGTCTGTGGAGTTCAGACTATGAGAGCTCTTGGCAAGAGCTATTTTGGTTGCTAATGAGACTTACAGAGTCTGGGTGCTACTATGGGGTATTTAGGAAATGGTAAACAATGAAAGCAGTGGGGGAGGGGAAGTGGCACCCAAGTCATTCACCTGCTCCAGGAGTGCAAGGTCACCCAAGCAGGCTCCAGACACAGTGTTCTCTACAAGTGAGAAAGCGGCATAATCCCCGCCCTAGGGAGCTCACTACTACACTCAGGCAGAGCTGAACTCCTGGCTAAGTAACAACTACGACAAAAGCCAACAATAACCTTGCAGCCTCCCTTCCAGCTCCAGAACCTGCTCAAGTCCCTCCCAGCTGCCTAACTTTCCCCTATGCCCCACCCCCTCTTGCTCAACACTCACCAATAGACACTGGAGGGTGGTTTGGTGGTGGTGAGATTCCTGGGAGGCCCAAGTCACAACAAGATGCTCTGAATCTGGAGAGTCACTGAACTGAGCTCTCTGCTCTCCAGAAGTCCACTGGGAGGGTAAGCTTATCACCTAGAAGCCTTCAGAACCTGCCCTTTGCAAAGTCCCAAACCCCTACCCCATGCCTGTCCCTAGCTGAACCCGGGAGCTGTGTATCCTGTCTCCTAGGAGGAAGTAAAACTCAGCCTCACTGCTCTGGCATCACTCCTCCTTCCCCTACCTATACCATTCGGGTAACTAAGAAGCACCTCTTGCTTTAACGGACAGCTTAGAGAAGACTAAGTCCTGGGGCAACATATTCCCCAGCTCCCACAGTTTATAACTCAGTACTATACACTTGTCCCATGTATTCAGTGACTCCAGTGTCAGTGTGTCTTAGCTTTGCTAGCACCCCAAAGCAGAAGTCACCTACATTCTCTAATGCCCTTTCTTCAACTGAGTGCCGTGGCATAAAGCTTGTCAAAGACAGCAAAAAAACCCAGAACTCGGGACTCCTGTATCCCAGCTTATCTCTTGCCTTCAAACACAATCCAAACTGAACTGTTTTTCTAAAGCATTCGAATAGATCATACCTAAATTTGGAGAGCCTGGGTATCAAATACTTCTACTTTCATCAAATCCAACACTCCAACACTCCCTTCTCCCAGATACCTGAGTTGTTAATGAAAAGGGCCAAAGGAGACATGCAGATGACTGGATGCTCTCTCTCTCTGTCTCTCTCTGTCTCTGTCTCTCTCTCTCTCTCTCTCTCACACACACACACCACACACACACACACACACACACACACACTCACTCTCTCTCTCTCTCTCTCTCTCTCTCTCTCTCTCTCTCTCTCTCTCTCTCTCTCTTCTATGCACCAGGATGCAAACTTTCTAACTGAACTGACCTGAGGCTGCTCTACCAGAGTTATGTAGTAGTGGTTACCTGTTGCCCAGAAGAATGACAGCCTTTAGCTGATAACAGTAATCCCAAAGAGGGTTCCCTTTAACGCTGCTGGGATCCTACAAACACAGGCAAAAGACAGAGACTCTTTTTCTCCTCTGAAGCTTGTCAGCTTTTACCCTCCAGGCAAAGCCCTAGTTCTAAACTGCCTGGGTTGGGTGAGTGGGGGAGGTGTAGCCTGAGTGGGCTGGATCAGCAATCCCCAGGAGATCCTTTCCATTCTCTACTGTAGGAAGTGCACAGACACCTCCCCCCCCCTCGCCCCAACCTGATCTGACTTTCCCCAGTGATTCAGCTCCAGACTCCTCTGCCAGTACAAGCTAGTACAGAAAAGTTGTGGTACGCTGACTGGGGGAGGGGTGGAAGATGAGGCAAGTGGTCCCTTAAAACCCTTGGGGTAAATGATGGAAGAGATCCCCATGGAGCTGAGCATGTGGGACACTGAGCCAGAGGGCTCGGTTTCCTCAGGAAGACACTGCCAGGTAAGAAGTTACTCCAAAGTGAAATCCAAGCCCTTCTGGACCTGCCCAAACCTTTTCCAACTGTGACAGTGGCTTCCAAAAGTTGGGCTTGGCCCCAGAGGGCACAGACAGAAACTAGACGCTGCCAGAAACCAGGGGTCATGTGTATACTACAGACCTGGGTCCACAGTACAAGATAACTCCAGGAAAGAGCCTCAGCTCTAGGGTTATGATGCCAGGGCTCAGAGCCAAAGCCCAGTGATGAGCGCTTGGGGCTCAGTGCCCAGACTGAGATGGGAAGGAGGTAAAGCAAGCCAACATGTAAAGGAGTAGTCAGACCCCTCGTGAGGCAGTACACCCCAAAACTCTTCACCACCTTCCCTTCTTTGGAGTAGGAATCTAAAAAAAGAGCTAGGGCATTCCACACACCCCCAAAGACCCATAGACACTGCACCCCCAAGCTTCCTTAGTCATTGCAACCTGAGCCCCTTTTCTGCCAGCGACCTCCCTGGGGCAGAGTGCACCCCAAGCTCCTTCCAGGGAGCCCCACGCTCACAAATCACTGGGGTTTGAGGCAGCTCACTCCTCTCTTGGGTCAGCCCTTTAACTCCTCCTCCCTACTCCCTGCACTGCCCCCAAGTAGTGGCCACCACTCCAAGCCTTCCCTGCCTCGGGTCACGGATCCCCAAGGGTCCACTCTGCCCCCCACACGGGGAACTCAGTGCAGCCCGCTCCCCGCCACGTGGCGCCGTCTGCCCCCCACGGGGCGCTGCACCCTGCTCGGCCGGTCAGCCCCCCATCCCCGGGGGCTTACCTGGCGAAGGGGCACAGGCGGCAGGCGCGCGCGCAGGGAGGCCACCCTCTGCCGCCGCCCGCGCGGTATTGTTTCCAAAATACCCCCGCTCTCTGGCATCCCGCAAACAGCTGACGAAGCCCCGCCCCTCAACCACGACCTGACCAATGGTGAGCGAAGCTCCAAGTCCGGGGCTGGGCAGCAGGCAGGGACAGTCGCGAATGTGTGAACCTTCCAGGAGATGCGCGGCAAGGGGGCAGGGCAAAATTCTGAACCTCCACAAAAGCGAAGAGTTGGCTCCCCGGCCTTCACGTCGGCTGTGCCACTCCTTCTTTTGGAATCCAGAAAACAGAAAGTGGGCCCCAAAAGTGTTCCTATGAGACCCAGGGTTTTTCGTGATCGGACTACATAATTACCTGGGGGAGGGGAAGATATCTTCAATTTGCTTCCCCTACAATAGCCAATGGGATCACAGCTTCCTGTTGACAAGTGATGTGGATCCTCACGGCTCTGTATGCCTCATGACCCAATATTATCATGTCCTGTCGGAACACAGCGTCTACACCCATGCCAAGGGCTGTGACTTTACAACCTAAAAGCGTCATCGAGTGGAGAACCTTATCAGTTCACCTAGTAGTTTTAAGTTACTGCCCAAGTTTCATATTCTGGACTCCAAAGCAAAAAGAAAAAAGAAGGAAGAAAAAGAAGGGGAGAGAGAGGAAGGAGGGGGAGGAAGGAGAAGAGGAGGAGGAAGAAGAGGAGGAAGAGAAAGAAGAAGAAGAAGAAGAAGAAGAAGAAGAAGAAGAAGAAGAAGAAGAAAGAAGAAGAAGAAGAAGAAGAAGAAGAAGAAGAAAAGAAGAAGAAGAAGAAGAAGAAGAAGAAGAAGAAGAAGAAGAAGAAGAAGAAGAAGAAGAAGAAGAAAAGAAGAAAAGTCATCACGTCTTAGTTTGGAATTGTAGTACCTTGACTACACCTAGCAAGCTGCAAAATAAGTATCTCCACGAAGAAGGGTCCTGTCTGTTATTCAGGGGCTGTTTGGACAGTATGCCTACCTGCAGGGCAAGTGAAGATATAGTGTGTCAATGTCACATTTCCATTGGGTAGTGGGAAGGGTTGTTGACTATTCATCTGGTGAAGACATCTGACTTTTGTGTGTGTGTGTGTGAGGCAGTATGGATTAAGTGACTTGCCCAGGGTCACCCAGCTAGTGTGTCATGTGTCTGAGGCTGGATTTGAACTCAGGTGCTCCTGACTCTAGGGCCATCGCTGTATCCACAACATCTGACTTCTTAATCCATGGGTTGCAAATTTAGCCAGACTGTGAGTTTGCTTGCTGTAGCTGGTCCTGAAGTACATGGTAAATATTTCCCCTGGATGGAGATGTGATGGTGTGGTTAAACATTTCACTTACTTCATTTTTGTCCTGAATTCAGCCATTTCCCTGCCCTTGCCCATCCTTTGGAGGAATCTTGTTCTTCCTGGGAACTCTCCCTTCCATCTTTCCTGCAATTTCTGCCTTCACTGATGAATGATGGCTCACCAGCACCCCTCACTCCGAGAGAAGTTTCCACCTAGAGTTCCATTAAAGTTTGTAATATCACACATAGCTGCCATTCCCAGCTGTAGTCATGGAAAGAGCACAGGATTTGGAGTTGGGGGATATGGGTTTGAATCCTGACTCTACTGCTTATAGTGCAGTCACCACAGGTAGGGCAGCCAGAGCTTTGCCACAAGTTAGCAAAATGAGGGAGTTGGACAAGATGTCCACCTCTAAGTCAATGACCCTGTGAAGTGGAGTCTACAATTCCTTTTTCACCCTTTACCAATCTAGTATGGTATGATGGGAAGAACACTGGTAATGGAGTAAGAGGACCCTGGGTTCAAATCCTTCCTTTGATGCTTGCTCACTGTGTGACCTTGGGCAAATTACCTAACCTTCCTGAGCCTCTGTTTCCTTAACTGTAAAATGAGAGGTTTGGACCAAATGGCCCTTAAGTTCTCATCCTACTAGATGTCTGAACCTGTGATCTGCCCCACCCTGCTTAGAAGAGGTACCTCTTTAATGGAGGCAACGATTCAATTGTCCTTAAGGATTAATCAGGGCCAAACAGGGAGACCTGCTTGGTAGATTGGGAGGGATTTTGATCTTTCAGGTGGGAAGAGGATGTCCACAAAAGGTAAGGTAGAGGTAAAAGGAGGTTGAAGAAAATGACCAAGATATCCCCCTTGTCCTTTCTAAGGGCTGATATTCATCCTGGCAATAATAACAGCTCATACATATTCATTTTCCAAATGAATTCCAAATTTCACGATAAAGAGGTAAAATGAGTAACACAAGTATGATTAGTCCCATTTTAAGAATGAAGAAACTGAGACTCAAAGAGCATGTTGTACCACAGACAAAGTTCTATTACTTTTATTCAATTTAATTCCACAAGTACTTACTGTGCACCTACTACATACCAGACATGGAATAAGTGCTGAGGATAAAAAGACAAAAACAAGATGCAGAGGCAACATTGGGTAGTGGGCAGAGATTCAACCTTGGAGTCAGAAAGACCTAGGTTCAAATCTGACCTGTGAAGCCTGCTAATGGTGTTCCCCTGCGCAAGTCATTTCACTTCTCCCTACCTCAGGTAACTGACCTTTCGCAAAATCTGTTGGACCATACTTTGTAAGAGGTTCTCAGAAGGTGTGGCTAGATATGATCTGAGGTCAGGACCAACTCTGAGGAGAAGAGAAAAGTCCAGGGAGGGGGCTGCACAAGCACTGAGAGGGTAGGAGGGCAGGCAAGTCCCCAGAATGCCATCAGGCAGAGCACACTCTCAGAAAGGGGTGGTGTTGTTTGGTTGTTTTCAGTTGTGTCCAACTCTTTGTAACCCTATTTGGGTTTTCTTGGCAAAGATACCAGAATGAGGGGCAGCTAGGTGGAGCAGTGGATAGAGCACCAGCCCTGAAGTCAGGAGGACCTGAGTTCAAATCTGGCCTCAGATTTTTTACTAGCTGTGTGACCTTGGGCAAGTCACTTAACCCCAATTGCCAAAAAAAAAAAAAACCAAAAAAACCCCTAAGATACTGGAGTGGTTTGCCATTTTCTTCTCCAACTCATTTTACAGATGAAGAAACTGAGATAAACAGGGTTAAGTGACTTGCCTATGGTCACACAGCTCGTGAGTGTCAGAGGCCAGATTTGAATTCAGGTCTTCCTGACTCCAGGCACTCTACCCATGGCGCCATCTAGCTGCGCTCTAGAAAGGGGTACCACAGTTGAATTACAGCTATATGCTCCCCTCTCAGTATTGGTGGTTTAGAGATGCAATCTTAGGGGTTCAAAACAAAAGCCACTTCTCTGATCACCGTAGCTTAGCTATTTTAACTCCTTCCCACCAAATGCTAGTTATATAAAAGGCCATCATAAATAGAGAGTAAGGAGTAAATAAGCAGACAGGAAGCAGAAATCAGAGAAATTATGCACACTAAAATATACCAGAAAATACACAAGAGTGAACTAACTCTTTACTGGGAATAAATGAAATCTCAGGGCAAATCAAGACAGAGGAGACACACTAGTCTCAGATGAGAGAGTGAGTTCAGAGTCATGGCTGCAGGATAGGGTTTGTCCAGGATAGCACAGAGTCTGAGAAAGACACTCCTGACCTCTAGAAATCTGAGTGGGAGACGTAGCCAGCCTTGCTCCGGGACAGTACATTCAAAGTTATCACTACATATTTTGTTTCAGAACAGGTGTTTATCTGCCTTGGTAGAAGGAAATTCTCATTTGGAGGTCTCTATGCCCTTGAATTTGGGCAAATAGGTGGTGCAGTGGATAGAATATTGGGCCTGGTGTCAGGAAGACTCCTCTTCCTGAGTTCAAATCTGGCCTTAGACACTTTACTAGCTTTGTGACCCTGGGCAAGTCACTTTACCCTGTTTACCTCAGTTTCCTCATCTGTTAAATGATCTGAAGAAGGAAATGGTAAACCATTCCTATATATTTGCCAAGAAAAGCCCAAATGGGGTCATGAAGGGTCTGAAATAACTGAACACACCCCTCTGAATTAAAAAAAAAAAAGTAGGTCCCAGGCACATATGTAACAAGGATCATGGGAGTGAGAGGCTGGAAATGTCTGATTTGCTGGATGCATATCCCAAAGCACATGTCCCTCAGCACTCATCTATTCCTTATTCTGATGCTTTATCACTGGACAAGTGGTTTTGAGAATCCCTGGGGCAATATACAAGTCTGGAATGGGGAAAAAGAGCTGGGTCTGAGCTTACATTCTACAAAGGGTCAATAACATATATGCAGATAAGTTAAGAAAAATATGTACAAAGTGATTTTAATGTATTGGGAAAGGTGGGACTCTAAAGTTGGGAATAAAAGAAAATGCTGCCTCTTCTAGGAGGTAACGCTTGTGCTGAGATTTGGAAGGATGGAGGGAGATTGGGTCTCCAAGACTTAGAGGTGAGTGGGAAGACATTTAAGCATGAGGGGAAACTTTCTCAAAGGCACAAAGGTAGGTGAGAAAATGTTATATATAAAGAGCATTAAGTAAGCCTGCCTTGACCTGGAGCGAGTGTTTGAGGAAGTTAATATAAAATCAGTCTGCAAAAACAGGTTGGAGTCCGAATGTGAAGGGCTTTACACAAAGACATTTGTTCTTTGTCCTAGAGATAATAGGGAGCCATTGAAGCTTCTTGAGCAGGGGAGTTATAGGTCTAAACCTATGCTTGGGCAGTTCTGTGGAAGATAAATTAGAGAGTGCAGGGATTGAAAGCTAGAGGCAATTGCAGAAGTCCAGGACAATGAGAAATAAGGAGGTCCTGAATATCTGCGCAGAGAGAATATCACATGATGTACTACTCTTAAGGTACATTTCAGCATTAGAAGTCTAAGCTTCTATAGTTCAGGGACAAAACCACTAACCCAGATCCACCTTTTGGGCAGGGGTTCTTAACCTGGGGTCTGGGGTCTTGTTTTGTTTTGTTTTAATATTTTGAAAACCATCTTTCAGTAATATTTCCTTTTTAATACCATATATTTTCTTTTACACATTTAAAAATATTATTCTAAGAAGAGATCCATAGGCTTTACCAGACTGCCAGAAAGGTCTGTG